CGGAGGGCAGGCTGGCGGCGCCCTCCGCGCCCGCCGGGGACTCGGGGCTCGGCTCGGCGCTCTCCTCCATCCCGCCCAGGGCGCCGGGCAGCCCTCCCGGGATATCGGGGACCGTGGGCGTCTTGACGGGAATCACCGGCGTCTTGATGGGGATGGGGCCGGCGCCGATGGTGCCGCGTCGCACGGAGGGCTTGGTGGAAGGCGTCCGTCGGATGGTGGCCACGCCGGGGGTGACGATGACGGGTCCCAGCGTGGTCGGCAGACCTGCAGTGGAGGCAGGACGCTTGGTCTGAAACATTCTGCGATAAGACTGGCTGATGTCACTGTTTCTTGGGATGGTGGAGGATTTGTCAAACTCTTGCTGCTCTGCCTCCTGGTCACCACTCACAGAGAAATAATCATAATCTGAAACTGAGGCCAAAAGACACCGTTAGGAACGAGCTGGAGAAGACAGCTGTGTCGTGTCATCGCAGCACTTGTGTGTACCCTAAGCAGTCTGGAGGTCGGTATTAAGAAAGGTTTCACCTCTAGGAGGAAGAAAGACCAAAATAGTGTGACCAAGATTCAAAAACTAAGTAAGTGACTGAACCCAGATGGGAGATGGGTTTGAACCCAAAGCTGCAGTGGGTCAATGTCTCTGCAGAGAGAGAAGTTGCAACTGCACCTTCAGGACCTCCCCTGAAAAAGAGCTAATTAGGTAACAGACACTCTATGTTTTGTTACCAAAGACTTAAAATCTTCAAAAATTGCATCCATCCTGTATGATACTTCTATAGATAAAAATACTTTAAACTGTCTGTGACCAAAAAGCGTATTTTAAAGTGGGGCACCTTGGGGCTTAGGGGACTGTGTCCAAGTGACTTCAACAGCAAATATGCTCGTTTTGTAAATCCAGTCTATCTGGCAGTTCTGAAATCTCAGTCTGAGCCAGGATAGCTGCATCTGGGTCCTTCCTTGCGTACGGGTGCTGAGCCAGGCTGCCGAACCCAAGCACCACCAAACTCGGCCTCTCTCACCTTGCTGCTACTTCCAAAAACAGGTACAAAAGATTTAAGACCTTACTGTAAGTTCCCAGCCAGGCCCACTTAAGGTCTCCAATGGAGATTTCTGCTTGCGTAGGAAATGAAAGCTTGTGAGGGGAAACCAACGGCAGACTCAGAGTAACTGACAAAGCAAAACGCGGAGTTCGTGAGCGCAGCTTTGCTACGACAATCGCCCAGAAAGGACATTGCCATCGCAAGAGGTGCAGGATGCAAACCCCATAACACTCTGCTTACCCATTAAATGTAATTCCAGCATTTTCTTTAAAGCCCCATAGCATCCTTATGCTAAAACTCTTTCTAGTAACGTAGCACAGAATACGGAAGTTCAGCGTGCTCTCTAGCAATCCGATCAGTTCGGTTAATAACCCAGATTGCTTTCAAGCCAGAAAGGACTTCAGGAAAGTGAAGCCCACCCTTTTTCCTCCCACCTTCCCCCCGGCACCCTC